AGAGAGAGAGAGAGAGAGAGAGGAGAAATTTATTGCTACTTTTCTTTACTGCAAAAAAAAAAATCGGAAAGTTTTCGTTGCTGGAAAAAAAAATTCACCCTAAAACATCAGACTTACCAAATAATAGCCCCGAGGTAACGGGAATTTTTCCCCTGAAGTTTGGGGATGGAAATGATATGAGAGTTTAGAGATAGCATCACACTTTCAGCAAGCATTCTTCATCCATTCCCTTCTCCTTCAACTTCTGACAATAATTTTGAATGGCTTAATTAGATATAATATACATATATACAATATAATTTAATATAAGAGTAATCAAAGATGAGGGGGAGGAGGGGAAGAGGGCGGAAAGGGAAGATACATGGATAGAGAAGAGGCGCGCTCTTGTCTTGTTAGCCTAATGGTTGTGGCCAGAAGAGGAAGAAAGAATCGATCTACTAGAATATAAGATGAAGATAAACACTCTAACTTCATCTCTATGCCTAAAGGCTGAAATTGATAAGCATAGAAAGCAAAGGAGGATACATCAGCAACCAATCGATGATAGATAGTTATGTGTAAAAGCTGAAGAAGGAAGAATAAGGGAAGGAATAGGAAATCGAAAGAGAGAGAGGGAGAGGGAGAGAGAGAGAGAGAGGAGGGAGAGAGTGTCACCATAGGACTGTTGAAATTATCCCAGTAAAGTAATATGCCTTAAATAGAGATATAAGATGTTGTCATCTACTCTGTTGCAAGATTGGTGCTATTGCAACGATTACGAAACTTTTGAATAGTATTAAGAATTCAAATTCTTAATCGGTTATGCAATAGATGTTATTAAAGAGACATTTATTACTTGGCCAAAATTAACATCAATTTGTCATTTTCTGTCCATTCTCTCAATTAAGCTCTTTCCCGAATTCTAATGTAAGAATTTTGTATGTAAAATAATGGATTATTGATTGGGAAAGATCTGATAAAGAATCATCTTAGAAATGAAGGTAATGATTGAAATGATTTTACTAACCTGCTTTTCAAGCGAAATGCTATCTACCGCGAATTTATCAGCGAATATCGGGGGAAAATAAATTTTCAGTCTTTTCATTATGGTGATGCTACGATAGTAATGTGCAAATATCATTTCAAAATGAAATAAACGTTGAAAACTTTACGCTATCTTATGTTTGTCGAGAACAGGGAAAAGGGAAGAGGAAAGGAGTAAGTATGACTTTAAATATTTTTGTGAAAAAGAAATAAATTGTTCTCTTTCCTCGTTTAAATGTATCCCTTTAAACAACTGATAAATGAATGATAAAAAAGCAAAAGAAGACAAGAGAAGAATTGTGACAAATTACTCGATCACAACAAATCAAATTTTCCCATTCATTTTTAGGCAATTTTACTATCACTGTAAAGTGGAAAGGGAGAAATAAAAGCGGTAATTGTAAAGAAGCATTATGAATATTTGCGCATAACATATTTATTCTTTTAGCCGTTAAGTTATTAAAGAAAATGAAAGCAAATAAATAGCCTACCATTATATTGGTTCAGTATAATTCATTGCTTTTCCTATTATTGCTCCTTCTCTTTCTGGAAGCATTTTAGCTTTCTTTTCAATAAATAATCAAAGAGCAGTAAAGCTTAAATAGAAAGGTTGAAAAATTCAGAACATTTCCTGAAATGTGAATATTCCGGAAAGAAATGAATAAGTATAGTCCGTGTATTAACACTGAATATGATAAACGATTGATCACGCACAGTCCTATAATTAACAGTACGTAGCATAAAGAAGATAGCAATACTGATGATACACTAAGCGGAATGCAATTGGGATGATGGCGATGATGATGATGATGATGATGATGATGATGACAATGAAGGCGAAATGAAAGAAGGGAAAAAGTGTCACAATTGTCAGCTAAACTTACTTTATGCTATTTGATTGGAAATTAAACAAGACAATTAGTAATTTTGATTTTTTGCATATTCTTACATTGCATAACGAATCATTTCTTGCAATATTTTCACTTTTCTTCCTCAGAAAGAGAGCAATAGAATGGAATGTAGAAATAGATGAAGCTTAATTAGGATTGATTAATTGAATAGGTTCGTCTATTTCGCCCTTTCCATTTATTGCCTTTCAAGAAAAACAAATATATACATATATATGCTGGGAATGAATTGATTAGTTGATTATTTTAGTACAAATTAACATCCAAATATTTCTCCTTTATCAAAAACGGAAAAAATTTTCAACATGCATAACAAACAGGAACAGGAAATGTAACATATGAACAGGAAAATACCGGAAAATATTCAGGAAATAATTTATTTTGGACAAATTGTTTGAAATGAACAAACAAAATTTTTGGGGAAAATCGGATAGAAGTATGAAAATTTCAATGGCTTAGAATCATCAAGTAGGATCTTTCAGGCTAATAGCAGGTTATGGAATCATTACTTGGATCCAACTAATCTAAGGGATATTTAATCCTGACTTTGAGGGAACCAAGTTTCAATC